TCTTTTTAAGTTTAATAGCAAATTTCGTTTTTGTATAATATTTTAGCAATAGTACCAAGACTAGAAAGACCTCTGTAAGATAAATTCTATGCACACTTGGAGGTGCACCCTAAGATTTTTGCACGGCATATTTTATGGCACCTGTTCTTGTATCTAAAGTACAGTTGCCAGATTACACAGTATGAAACGAGTACAAACTCACTCTGTTGTTTTGAATTAGTTAAAAAATATTGAAAAGCTAAATTTCCTCTGCAGACTCTGCACTGAATCAGGCATACGGTTTTCATGTAGCATAATGCTGGCATAAACACATGTCACATCATATGCCATAAACACATGTCCACTTACACAGGGAAACTTTCTAGGAGAAATTTCTGTTTCCAGCTGTGCATGAAAGTATAAAGAGAGAAGACAGTAAAAAAAAAATCCATTTGTTTTCTTAAGCAATATCTATGCCAAGCTGGCTATTCTATGCAAGTTATTACCAGGTGATATATCTGCAAGGTATTCCTAAGAATAAAGGAATGGCCACGGCCAAAAGCCACCTCCCCACAGTGTCCTGTCTTCAGCAGAAGCTGCAAGTCCAGACTCCTCCAGGACTTTTTTGTTGAAATACCACCTTTTTTTGTCCCTCACCTTTTCATGCACATCCTTTCCGAGGCGCCCCAAGTTGCAGAGTCTCAGCCTGCTCTGGGAGCTGCGGGGAGCCACAGCTCACAGCCAGTCCCCTGGCCAGGGACGTGGGTAGGAGGAGGAAGCTCAGGAGGGGGGATAGGGGGGATCTGGCAGCTGTGGTGTCTGCTTCCCTCTCCTCACCTTGTCACATCTGCAAGGACTGTGCCTCCGGACAGCGTCCACTTGGACAGCTCCAGGGAGCAGCAAGTGCTCTTGGGGGTCCTCTGCTCTCTACCCCTCCCTTTTTGGGGTTTTAGATGCTTGAGGAAAAGTACGAACAGCATAAGCTTCTCCCTAATGCTCTCCCATCCTCCAGCGATTTTCAGCTCAGTGGATTTCCTGAGTCTGGTGTTATTAAGATTTTGTTCCCTTCCCCCCAACTTCCCAAATTAAGTGCATTGCTGAGATTTTTTACTGCAAAGAGAACTATATTGCTAAGCTGTGTTCTGATGAAAAAACTACACTAATTTTCTGCATTATTACTTCTACGATCACAACATGGCAGATCTGCCTCTCAGGAAATGTGTTTCTTTAAGGTATTTTGGTTTCATGTGCAGCGGGAAGCTGAGCATATAGTAAAGTGGGCTGGCACCAATTGCAAGAGACAGCTTTCTTACAAAGCCAGATAAAGACTTGAGCACATAACAGAGAGAAGGAGGCTTTGGTTCAGTTAGGCAAGTTTGGTTCAACTAGAGAAGAAGGCTGGGCTGTGCCTTGGTCAACTCGGCACAGGTGCTGTGGAAGAGAGGACACGATACTCCCTGCTCTGCTCACGGCCAGTGTTCAGCTCCTGTTTTCACAGTCTGGAGCCTGGTGTCTAGGAGCCTCCAGCAATGCAGTTTTCTCACCTGCACATTTGATAGTCGTATGGGCGAACTCAGGACGACGGCAAAAGAGAATCCAAGGTCATAGCCACGTGGGACAGCGTTGCCCCGTACTGGCATGAAAAACAAACGCGTCTCTTGAAATGCTGTAGCGTCATTTAAAAGAGAGGAAAATACAAGCATATTCACCAGCCTCTTCTTCATGATGCTACACAGGCTCAGTTTTCTCACAAAAGAGGAGATGGTACCTAGGGAGACGGAGCAACAAGCAGGCGTGGATGATACCGGTCACTGTTGGCGTTCGGCAGCTCGGGGACTTGCCATGGGCTTTCTGTGTTCCCAATGGATTTCCTTTCTCTGAACCTGTTCCTTTTAGCTCACGGTGGTTATAATTATATTCCTAATGCGGACGCAGCTTATTCCGGCAAAATGGTACTTCTGCTGATGTAGCATTTTCTACTCCCCTCCAAGCCTCTTTCCAAGTGAAATAAAATGCACAGACAGACCTGATCAACACAGCAAAAGAGTAGAGCATACATGTATCCTGATTTATTTCTATTGCAAGTACATTTTACTTAAAATGAAGTAAATTTATCATGTTTTCTTTTTATCATCGCCAGTATTGTGCTTTCCACAACTAAGTAGCAAAAACCACGTCCAGAATCCTTCCAACTACATCACGTTGCTGGTTGCAGCTCTGTAGACACTTTGGATGGATAAACTTGGTTCTAGAGAGCCACCTGAGGGCGAGAAGCGCACGCGCTGCCTCAGCAACTCGGTTGCGCGTTTGACTTTTCCAGAGACCTTCCACCAAGAGCAGGGAGGAAACGCCTGCATTTTTCCCTGCCTCCGCACTCCGAGCCTAACACTAACTGCCCGTCAGCGTCGGCAGCCAATCCCCGCTCCGGGGAGGAAGGGTTCCGATACTTCCCTAATCTGGCATTTGTTTTAACAAACATTTCCCACTGCCTATGAGGAAACATGATGCTGGCCAGCGTTGGGCGAGGGTGGGATTTCCTCCCCATTGTCTGACGGCCTCAGCCCTCGCTTCGTAGCAGACTTTGCTATTAACTGTTTAAAGCTCTTGCTTCTTTTTGCTGCATGGAAGTTGATTGCCAGAAAAATAGGGATCTTCTAATCACAGGGATCACACATACCAGGCATCAAACTAAATGCAGATAAATGTAAGAGCTGAGTCTAAGCAGGACCAGCTAATGTGGCTTCAAACCTGTGTCTTAATGAGCTGAAATAAGTATTTGCAATACTGTTAAAAATAATTCAGGTTAAAATGACTGTAAAACGCAACCTTTCTAGCAATCAGCATGTCTCCTGAAAGTTATATAATGCACACAGATTGATCTACTGGGTGCTGATCCTCAGAGAGCCTGAGGAGACACAAATATCTGAAAACAAGGCCTGCAGACACCTACCCTCAAGTAAGAGATACGCCTGTTTTTCATACTGGATTTAATCTACTGCCCACCAACTCAAACAAGGCAATATAGTTATGGTTTGGACACTCCCTACATATTTGCTTTTGGATACTTTGTTCTTTCCCAAATTAAATATTTGTATCCTGAAACAAATATTTGGAGACCGTCCAGACTTGCCTTTCCAAATATGTTAACTACAGAAAACTGCTTGCAGTCAGGAGGCTGCAGGTAAAAGCCTCCAGTGTTGAAAAACCATAGGGCTTCAGTCCTGTCCATGCTTCCACATTTGTAAAACTGTGGCCTAAATATTTATTTGACAGCTCTCTATGGGTCCTGAGAGATAAAGGGCTCAAATCTTTTCATACTGAAGATAGCTGAACTTCTGCCTTATGTAAATATTTACATAGGTAAGGAGAAGGCACTGCGGCAGAGTGATGAATCTTTTCAATAAAGCACCAGGTCTGGACAGGGAGCTTTATTTTGGATTTATGCCACGAATCCCCTCTTACAGCTCACTGAGTTGTAAGGGGTATCTGGCCCTTCTGCCTGCAGAATTAAAGGCAGTTCTGTATGCCACTAGCTGCACTTCTCCCCTGTTTGCTTCTGGGTGCAGAAATGGATATACTGGGACATAGAGCCTTGCAGAAGTAGACCTGGTAGCTTGCAATGATTGCAATGGCCTGCTCAGAAGCAGTAAAGCCCCAGATATTTTTTCATCTTACAAAAGCACAGCTCCCATGAGATCTGGGGAGAGAAGGATGCAGAGGAACCCAAGACAGTCACATCATGGCACCTCCTGTGGGAACGTGGCATGTATTTGTGTTGAACTCTCTCTCAAAAACTACTTGTCTGAACAAGATCTGAGCCAAACATCACAACCAAATGTTTCACATAAGGTAGCCTTTTTATAATCATCCTGTCAATAAATCCCTTCCTGAGTGCCCCTCTTATTCAAAGAATTGCCTGTAAATTTAATTTCCTCTTTTATTAATACAAGCAATATAATGCAGTTAATAAATTATATTTCCACCATTTGGTATCAGCCCAACTCCTCAAAGCAGATCACCAGCACTTTCTCTCCGATTTATCTTATTTATTTTAGATAATGTAAAATGTTCTTTAATATTTAAATGCATAACAGAACTAAAGCTTTATCACAACTATGCAACAAATTACTTGCATTTTATTTTTAAAAAGAGGATGTAAGAACCTGATACAGCAGTCTCAGACAAAATGCAATTTTAGATACTACTAGAAATTTTATTTACTAAGCACACTTGAGGACCTTTCACTGCTGTGTGTGTAAAATTAAGCTAAGTTAAATCTTTGATTGACCAGACACAAAAGATGCATCCTTTTCATCATTAATATTCCAAAATTGTTTTCAAAAAATGTTTTTAAAATACTCATTTACTAATGAATAAAATTATTTGCATGCATAGATACTTACAGGATTAAGTTGACAATAAAGCATAGCACACTGCTAGATAAGATTAATTTACTGTGAAATGCATTATTTTTTCATATATAATTCCTGAAGCATTTCATAAACTCTGGAATGTATTTGCCTAGACATTCTTTAATAATTATTTAATTATCTCATAATTCAAACTAAATATGATAAATGTACACAGCTTCTTGCTACACATATGCCTGTATAGTAATATATTTTCCTATTATTAGATATCCCCTGATGCTGCTGTGGAATTGTGGATCTGTAGCTTGGCACATAGAGCCGGTGCTGAGAGGTGCACTAATTCCGTGTGTTTTACTTTCTGTTGCTCAAGGTGAATATTCACTTTGGAAAATGTTACTCAGAATTACACCAGGCTGCACGGTTGGAGGAATTTACATTTATCAGATAACCGGCACTTTTTTTCTCCTCTGCAATAACTATATATAGAATCCAGGCCTAAAAGTATGATAAAAAAAAACCATACATATTAAACAGTTAAAGATCCGTTTCAAATGCATTATTAAAATAATAATAATAATAATAAAAGAAACAAACAGCAACTCCAGCAGACACCACTAGAGTTCTCCTACTCCCAAATATCCCCAGCACCATCCTAAACCCTGTTTACCCCAGAAACCTGAACTGTGGACAGACAGAAGAGGGGAGAGAGAGAGAGAGAGAGAGAAAATTCAGACACAATAAAACTCTGAGGGGGAAAATATGTGGAAGGAGGAGGCAGCGGCGGCCTGGGGAAGGGATTGAAAAGTTTCCCCCGGCTTTAACTTCTCCCCCCCTGCAGCAGCAGAAGCGGCGGCGGCGGCGGCACAAGGTGAGAGAGACTTTTAAGTCGGGGGAGGCGGGGGGAGAATTTACAGCCCTATGGATATTTCTGTGTCTGCCTTCCCGGCGGGGG